TGATCATCGATGTCCAAACAGCGACACGGAAAGGATGTTTCAGGAGTCCATCTGCGCTGCCATGTGCGATAGTTGTAGATCTTGTCGCCCAACGTGGCACTGCGAGTTTCCACCACCCGGATCTTTGGAAGGAAAAGGGAAGGAAACAAATCACGATGAGCAGCAATCCAGCTTTGTAACCATGTGCCAAGTGTAGCTTTCCAATTCCGGACATGTAGGGGCGGTAGGAGTAGTTGTGTCAAAGTGGTAGGTGGTTGTAGCTGTCGTTTGCGTAACACCTGGGCGAGGAGTTTCTGCGCCTTGGAGCGGAAGGGCTCGTTGACAAAGACGGAGAGCCGCAGAAAGTAGTAAAGCTGAGTAGGAGGGAAAGCTGCCGACAGTAGGTCACGCATGGCTTGGAACGATGCTCCTGTATTGGATCCCAGCTGATAGAGAATAGAGTAATGGGCTTGAATGTCATCCAGTATGTCGGGTCGTAGTTGCCGTTGGAGATCCGGATGTAGTCGTCGTCGAAAGCGTTTGTGCAAGCCGAGGGAAGTGGGAGACGACAACGAGTGACGTCGAAAATCAACGAGGTGTTCCCGGAAGCCCACCTTTCGCAGAAGTCTGTGTACCCAGGGTGCATTCAAATGCGGGCGCAGCAGGTATTGCCATTTGCTTTCCTGGACCCAAACCGAGGAAACGGGAAGCTTGATCTCAACCGGAACAGCACAGAAGAGCCAGTAAGTATTGGATCGCTTCCAGTAGTGAAGCGCAGGTTCGAAGAAGGCATGACGTCCTCGAAGTAGTTGTAGAAATTTGCGACTGCGTGAGTGTTCACGTCGAAGAACATCCTGATCAGTCGCACCAACGTAGTAAGGTGTGTGCCATGGGGAAAGGCGGATGTAGACGCACGGTTGTTGATGATGACCTGGATCGTGAATGAAGTCATAGAGGTCCGGAAATCGTGCCCGCAATGAGCGAAGATGTCGCGTGTCGGCAAAAGTGGAGTGCATGATTTCACACAAGAGAGAAGCCTTGTAGAAGTGAAGGACTTCAAACCATGATCTTGGGAAATGAGACGTTGTAAGAAACTGGTCAATAAATAGGCAGCGCACCGACATCTATGAATCTCATACCTGTTGGCCACAGTGTGCTGAGAGTGTGACATAGCGTGATTCGGAATCTGAAGGGCAATCCGGACCACAACTAAGACTTCGAGAATGAGGCCCAACCACGGTAGTTGTGTGATTGATTCGTACTCATCAGCTGGTATCGACGGTGGTGGTAGTCCAGGGAAGCAGTATTGCCAGCACGTAGAGAACATGGTCAACGAGTGTAGAAGGTTGTCCAGAGACTGCCATTGTGCAACATCATCATAGATTCCACAGCGGCGAAGCTCATCCAACATGGTGAAAATACAACCAATGAAATCTACCATAAGGCGGCGACATGGATACAAGCTGCACAGACAATCACACACAAGGCAATGCAAGAACAATCAAGCACAAGATCAAACTGATGCGACGCAGAAAGATGACGGACGGGTTTTAACCTTGACTCCTCCGTGACATGGTTGCCGCTCCGGGCTCATAAGAGAACGAAGGTCGTTAAGATGCCTGCTCTCCGCTGAGTAGGCGAGCGGTCACGATGAGGTGACTCAATGCCTTCTCTGTGAGCTTGGTAAGATAGCCGGGCTCCAGTCCCCACGAAGCCGCCATCGCCCCGAGAGTAGGTGCGTCGCCTTTCGGCATGCGTTGACGCGCTTGAAGGAGCTGCGTCGCCATGGAATCTAATGACTTGTTGCCGTTGAGCCGGGACGGGTGATTGGCCCACTTGACCAGTGACGTCAAAGTCGTGGTTGTGGGCGATTGCTTGAGATAAAGGCGAGGCTGGTCACTGGTCCATGTGTAGTACTTGACAACTTCTTCCGGCGTGCTGTGCATGGTGAGCAATTGTGACGCCGCCGGCTTGGACGGCGGTGACGACACTCCGTGAAGAGACTGAATGATCCGGGGTTGCACCGCGCTATCAAACGACTTGCCATCAAGGGCCGCTGCGCTGGCTGTAGGAAGGGAGCTGGCAGGTGACGAGGATGGTGTGTGGTTGACCGGTGGCGGTGTAACCAACTCTGCATCATCTTTCTGGCTTGCCATCGTGGGAGAGGTCGAAGCGCGCAGCGATGCTGAATACTGAGCCTGGAGCAGCTCATGCGCACGATTTAGATCATTGTACTTCTTGACCATGTCATCTGTCTGGGTGGAAGGTGTGAGAGAGGCGTGATGTTGCTGAAGAAATTGAAGTACCAAGCTGGCCAAATGGTCATGAACCTTGATCCGCTGATTGAAGTCATCGATGTTGAGACCCAGCGAGTTGGCAAGGTCCTTTTCCAGGGTGAGCAGGTTGATCGACTGTGATCGTCGTAGTAGTTTGGAACAGGTACTCCAAAGTAAGGCCTCGGTGCGAGTGCGAAAGCCTTCCCACGTCACGAATCTGCCGTGAGCGAACGGTCGGAGTAGCCAGTTGGTGAGGCCCCCATGAATAACCTGAACCAGGCGAACGTCACGAATATCCATGCCTGACATGTCGCGCAGGTTGCCATGCGGAGTGTTGGCAACGGTCATGGGCAGGCTAAAGTTGTAGAGCTGATTGACATCAAACATGCCATCTCCAGGTGTCCATTCAGGCGATGGTGTAAGCCAGGCTTTCTGAGGGCGAACCGGTAGAGCCGCAGGAGGTCCAGGTGGCGGTGTAGGTTGCGGAGTAGTGACCGGTGGTGGCATCACGGGTGGCATGAACTTCGTTGGCGTGGGGTCTGGAGGGATCGGCATCATGTAGTTGATCGCTGGGTGTTGGAATTGCTGTGTGGGGCTGTGAGTCGATTGAAAATTGGTGGGCATCATCGGGAAATTGTTGGCAGAGTTGTAGCCGGAATTGTGTTGCCAAGATACCAGGTTGTTCCAATCCATGCCTTCCGAGACGTGGTGGTCATTGTGTTCACGTCGGTGTGCTTTACGAGCCTGAGGAGAAGTACTCCGATCACGTCTGCGCCGAGTCCTGGATCTATCACGATCATCACGTCGAGACATGAGTACACAATCGACTCACAATCTTCACACTTCCATCTTGAGAGACACGTATCAGGCAACAAGCAAATCCATGCAACGGCAAGGTATCAACGAATCCAACAAATGGCAAGCAAACATCGATGGTGAGACTTCTCTATGATCTGACCGCTGTCTTCCCTTTAGTGAGACCTCGTTCCTGGTTAAATGTGAAATTCCGCTGTGCTATAATAAGCACGTTGAGGTCAAATTTTCCGACAGAGCCGGCCCGGGGTCACACAATGGGTACACCCGAGGATTCCCCACGAATGGGGTGTACACACTTAAACTCCAGATGGAGAGTGCTAATCTTTCGAGTACAACTGATGAGTTTCGAGTACAACTGATGAGTCTCGAGTACAACTGATGAGTCTCGAGTGGGTAAAAGTTCGGCTTGCAGTCACTTGGTTTCCGTCTAGCTGCGAAAACGTTACAAGGTTCAACATGAAGCACACACAGCGAGAAAACAACGGGCCAAGAGGACTTTGAATCACACGAGTTGCGCAGGTACGCGGAGTTGATCAGACTCCGTATCCTAGGAGCTTGCAAAGAGCTTCGTTGGGCAGAGCTTTGCAAGTCCTCTCTGCCCCCCTGCTGAGAAACCGAAAGGGTGGTGACAGGGCATTCCGTCACTCCGCACACACACACACACCACACACACACACAATTAGAGGGAAACTGCACAAATCCTCTTGAGCCCAAGCTGAGTCTCTCCCCTGACTTTCCGCCACGAACCCTCGGATTCATCAATTTGAGCAACCCTCAAAATGACCCTCAATTTCAAGGTAAACCACCGGTCCCCCTTTAAAGGACTCTTGAGAACCGCGAAACAAACGCAACCACTTTAAGCTCCATTTGCTTCGTCCCCCTGCAAAATTTGAGAAAACATGTCCAGTAGTGAAATCGATTCCCTTCAATACCAGCAGAAAAAGAACAACATCTGAATCCATCTGAAGCGCAAATGGGCGCGTCTCAAAATTAGGAAACCCCTCACATCAACCAAAAGCTTTGGGTTCCCCACATTGGAGACGCAGGTTTTTAATTGAAACCCTCTGACATGCAAATGGTGGCTTTAAGGCACCCGCAGAGTGGCCTCAAACAAGCGCAACACCCACATGAAATGAAGCTAGTTCAATATTCCTGGCGCCAAAATGGCCATGGCGAACTGTTGCTGGTTCCTGATGCTCATCCCACGTAAAGCACCTTTTCTACCATGTCCCCAGCCAGATCTCCGATCGGTGGCTCGGAAAGAACCACTCCCTCTTTCAAGGCACTTGGTCCAGCTCCCTTCCAACCACCAGCTATAGTTTTGATCAACCCCCCTAACTGGATGTGGTGCACCTACTCCAAAATGGCACCCCATGTCTCTTTTTTGGACTTTTGGTGGTAGAGGGAAGCCAACAGGAAACCTGGCGCCATGTTGGGGAAAAAATCATCTAAGCTTTTTGGGCAATGGCCATCCCCATGTAAAGCACCTTTTCATCTCCATTTGAGTCACAATCAAAACCCGGTACAACAATGGTCTACCCAGAACCATGTAAAGAATTAAGGAGGCGGCCGCAACTATTTCTGGCTGGGACTGCCCCTTCCTAACCTTCATCTACCCGGGTTTTGGATTGTGGCTCATTTGCGCTTCTGGTTTTTATTTCACCTTTGTCTCCGATGTGGAGAACCCCTTTTGGTTGCTTCTAATACAACAGAAAGGGCTTCCCAAAGACTGATTTGTTCATAGGGGGATTCCCAAAAGCATCACAGAAGTGGTTGGATCAACCCCTTGTGATCCCGCAACACAACCAGGAACACGCAGCATGGTTAGGTTTTCCGAAAATTTTGAGACACGCCCATTCGCGCTTCAGGTCGTTTGTTTCGCTTGCCCGCGGAAAAAAAATATCCCCCCCCCCAAAAAAAAAAAAGGGCCTGCTGCACCTGCTCCAGCACCGATCTGCCCGTCTCCAGCTCCTCCTGCCAGCTCAGCGGGGCGGCCCTCCGCAGCAGCTGCGTTACATCTGGCTCCTCCGCTTGGCTTGGGCTCCCCCTTTTGGCTTTGAGGGAGCTTGTGGAGTGAGGGGACATAGATGGCTCTGGTAGATGATTCTACCAGGTGGTTGAACCAGGAATCGCCATCTAGTTTTTACCAAAACAACCCAAAAGGACACCTATGCTATGGTTATTCAGGATCCTTGGTGATTTTCCGTGGATGTCCACCCCTGTCAGGTCCAGGTAAACAAGTAAAGGGGTCTTCTGACCATGGCACATACGAGCATCGGGCGTTTTTGAATTGGCAGTCCTGGGAGAAAAACACATACAACATGGCGATACAGTAATGTTGACCCCAGATTAATCAACCAGCCTGTTTATTAGTACGGGTCCCGGTGTCCCTTATGGGGTCAACATTACTGGTCTTCCAGCCTTCAGTCAAAATGAATGGGAGGATTAGACTGTGGAAGAGAGTTTCGCCTGGGACACGAAACCGGCTTTGCAAGTTTAGCCCGGTTTCTGTATCCAGGGGATCGATCCTGACAAAGCGGTCATGCGGTGGATGGACAAAATCCTGCTCCACCTGGGATCATCGGATGCAGCTGTGACGAGACAACCACCTACCAACTCGATGCGAAGCGGATTTGGTCCATCTTTTTGCAGAGGGGCGAAGTCTGGCGCGATTTGTGGTTGGTCAAATGGGTTGAGACACGCTTACCTTGGGTTGCTCTAGTCGAGCCAAAAGTTGGTTGGCTCCGCGCTCTCTTTCGCAATGACTGGTTCGGATGCGCCGATGGTAGTAGATGAAGCAGCTCCGCAAATGTCAATCGCACGAACTCCTTGAAAGACTGACTGACAGCACCAGCAGCAAGATAGCTCCGTCTTCTTCACCGCGTGGACAAGCGCCCCAGTCCTCGCGCAAGCTCCTCGGAAGCAAACTTCAGCGCCGCCATGTGCCACCGCCGCCAGCACCCTGCGGTCTGCGCGCAGCTCTTCTTGGGCGTAACGCAGGGTGAAGCCATTCGCCGCAACGGCGAGCCACTTCTTCTCCCTCTTGGACACAGATACTGTGGATGGACAAAATACCAACAATGCATGGTTTCAACCATGGTCTCAAAGTGGTGCAGGATTTTTCTTCCATCCACAGATATGGACAAAGATTTATCGATGCCAGGGGTTTCCCCTACCTGCAGCTGCTGCGACTTGGGATCTCCACGCTCAGCTGGCCGTGCAAGTCCGCCATGGCTCTCACATGCGAGAAACCGAATTATTCCTGCTAGTGCCCAGCAGGGAACGACCTGGGGTTTCGGGCATGAACCGGAAGTTAAAGGAAACCAAATCGGGGATGGTGTATCTCGGGGTCATTCCATTTCTCATTCCCTGCCAACTTAAGTTCTCTTTGCAATATGGGATGAGCATCCACACGATTCGAGGCTCCCGTGGAAACAAAGTCTAAGCCGATGTTTCATGGATTTCTCTCAAGATGCGAGACCCTCTTTCCACGGGGGGGTTAGAACAATATGAATGTCGACCCCAGATTCAGAAACCTGGGGGCTTGTTTGGGTGTTCCCCGAGATCCAAGGTGAAGAATCCCCTCCACTCAATCGGATGCTTCCGCCTATTCATCAGGGATTTATTTGGGTGTCTTTTTGTACAAAATGGACCTGGAACGTGGAGTCAGAGCTCAAAGTCCGAGTGCTTTCTCCGCTGAATATGAACTAACCTCCTTTGTCTTCTTCTGCAAAAAATCCAAGCAAAAAAAAATAGTCAAGCCAGGACATGAACACACCTCCTTTGTGCCCGCCCCAGCGAAAAGAAAAGCCGAGCGCCCCCCCCAAAAAAAAAAACGCAAAAAAGAGCCAGAATCAGAACCAAGCCACAAAGAAAACCAAAAGCAAAAAGCCTTCAGCCGCCCGGAGCTCTTCGACCGCTGCTCATCCCCACCTCCGCCTGCGCCGGTCTGCGGAGGCCCAGGCTCAGGCCCCCCAGCCCCAGCGCCGAGACCGGGCGCCACAGCCGCCGGAGACCAGACGCGGCGAGGCCGCGGGCCGGGGCCCAGGGCATGGCGAAGATGTTCCTAGGTCCTCCAGTTGAGAGGTTGGAATAAGGGTGCCCGATTTTCTCTGTAGTCTATTTTAGTAGGGGTGCCCTCCCCTGAAAAAGGGTAAAAGAGCACCACTGGGGGAACTAGTTTCAACGAGGCTCAGGGAGGCGGAAACGAAATCAACGCATCCGACACCAAGGGCTTAGGGATTAGGGGACGGGGACGGGGGGAAGGGAGGGGCCAGTGGTGGGAGTCTCCTCATTTTTGCCACCGTGCACACGTCCCCATTTCATTGGCCGCCTCTGCGTCGGCTTCGTGTGGCGCAGGTGCCCCCATTTCAGAATCCATTTGAGTATGTCTCTGACTAACTAGGAGACCTACTAAACCATCCAAAGAACAAACTCACACACACACACATTTGGAAGCACAGACTCTGGCGTAAAATCAGGAAACCCTCAAAATGGGCTTCGGCTTCCCCTTTTCACTTGCGAACCACGAAAAGCGAGGTATCAAAGGCCTCCTAGCGCCTGTAGTTCGTGGGGTTTCCATTCAGAAGCATTCCGAGTGATGCGAGTTTTTCCAAGTGATTCCATGCGTTTCCATCTGGCTGCTGGGTCAAAACCAATGGGATCCCATTTTGGGGGTTTTCGGTGCACCGCCCAGTTTAGAACCTATTTTAGTGGTTGGATTGGAATGTTCACTGGGGGTACGGGATTTTGACCCATGGCCATGTGTTTCCAAGTTCCGAAACCACCCATCCCTGCTGGTTTGAAGGGCAGGCCTGACCGGCATGTTGGCACGTCCACGCCAGGTCTCGGTATTTGAGCCTGAACGGTTTCTATGGCAAAAAATATTCGGCAAGCGCTCAGGCAGGCACATAGGCAGGAGTCGATGGCAGGTGTTTTGCCCTGCTTGCAGAAACAAGTCTTAACACATACTTATTGTATGCGACCACGTACTCAGACGACTTTGTGTCAGCTGAGAATTAAACTCAGACTATACTTCTAAAAAGAGGCGGGGGCAGCCGAAAACCCGAGAGAAAGCAACCTCAAAATCGCAACGCATGCGTCACGCTGGAAAAATCAACAACTGTGTCTGACATCTTGGGGCTGCCCCTGCCCAGACAGCACACGGCCACGGAGGTATGCAACCGCCATGCTATCCTAATTTGCACCGGAGAAGTCCGGAGTTGGAAGTTGGAACTCGCGCGCCAAGGCTTGAATTCGGGTGCCCTGTCGAGACGAAAAGCACAGGGGCGCGGCTCAACTTCTCAAATTCAGAATTGACACGCGGGAGGCAGGGACTCGCGTCGTGCGGAAACTCGAAACTCCGAAAGTTGGCTCGGAAAGTAGCCAGGATGCCTGTACAATATGCGGCCTCGGAATGCGTGCAGTTGTTTGCGGATGCAAGATGGAGGGGCTGGTCAGAATGGAATGTTGCCCCTTGCGTAACCCAAGGTAAGGATTAAGCATTGCGTTTGAACAGCGCAGGATGGCGGTTCCATGAGCACTCATGTAGCATACTCCTGGATGCGAGTGGGTGAGTGTCAAACTGTCAAACTCCAGCCCCGAGTCACGGGAATCCCAATCCATTCAACTGCGGAAGGAGAGCCATTCTCGATGTCATGCCAATCCTGTTGCGGGAAATCATTTCGAATCGAAATCAACTGTCCCCTTCTTTGAGCCTTGTTTGTCACACTCACGTAAAGCCTGGGCAAAGTACTGGAGTTTGCAAAGGAGACTGTTCGACATCAAACAGCTTTGACTATGGATTGCGATTCCACCCATCCGACCAGCCATGCTGCCCCGCCACACCCATCGACCCATCGACCCATCGACCCATCGACGCATCGACGCATCGACGCGTCCATCGACCCCTCGAAGTGTCCCTCGCTTTCTTCGCTGGGCGCCCCGCGAGCGACGACTGGCCAAGTCCAAAAACCTGGCGAGCCAACCACCGAATTAGACTAATGTTGCCCCCAGATTCATCAACCAACCTGTTTATTAGATCTCCATTTGCTTAAGTCCCCTGGAAAAGATTAAAAAAACAACAAAAAAGTCCAGTAGTGATAGATTCCCTTTAAAACCAACAGGGGAAAATAGAAAAGATTCTTAACCAACTGGCAGTAGAGGGGTCTCCCTGAGTGAAATGTGGGGATTTATTCCACTTTTGGACGGGAACACCCCCCCTGTTGATAAACTGTTGACTAATATGAGGCCAACATTATGCGGTTCCCATAGAGGAAACCTGGAAATCGAAACAGCCCCCCATGTCCCTCCCAATTGGACCATTTGCTCAAAATGCTGACAAAGCCTCACGAGGGTGCTGTATTTGTTTGAAGGTACTCCCTTTTTAGTGGCGTCAAAAGGGGAACCAAAAGGAAAACCGCCTTTTAATTGGGGTCTGTTTTTGTTCGGGACCCCCAAAAAATGGATTTCGGTTCTCCCAAAGGTTTCCCTTTCAAGCCACAAACAAGGGCGGTACCAACTCCAAAAAAGGCCCGCCCATTTTGTATTGTTATTTCTCGGGGGGTTCAGATTCCTCAAAAAGACATCTAGGGGTAACTTTCCTTCTTTCTAGAAAACCCCCAGCAAACCCTTGGGAAACGGATGCGGTTGTTGAAAAGAAGGATGGCTGAGAAGAATGGACTTGGAATCAACCCCTAGAAGACACGCCCCGATCGTTTTCTGTTTTTGGGGGGGGTCTCCGCTTCCATAAAAAAAGGCACGCAACACCCACGGCCAATGACATTCGGCGCGCCTTGGACCTAGACATCGGGCGACCTCGGCTGGCAAGTCAAGTCCAAAAAAAAACTCCACGTGGGTCTGTTGTATTTGTTTTTTTGTTTCTGCGGGACCAATTTTGGGGGTGGTCTGGTTTTTGTTGCTGTCCGGTACCAACTTTGGGGCGGTTTGGTGGGAAGCCAGAAGGAACGCCGAGGCATTTATTTATTTTTGGGGGGGGGGAGTTCCCTCATCTCCGAAAATGTCACTCCCAAAAAAATCCGGGGGGACCCCCAAAATGACTGATGCCAGGCCATGGCTTTTAGCTTCCCAGAAAGGGTGGTTTGGAGCCCGGCGGTTTGGAGCTAGAAAGGGGTTGCAGAGCTTGCCATCTCATTTTGACCAAACCTCACATGCACCGCAAAGAAGCAACATATAAAAATGCAAAGACGCCCCAGGGAAAAAAAAAATAGGAAACCTCAAAGCGTCACGTACAAGCCACCAAAACATCACAAGCCACTAAAAAATGCTGGAAGACAAGAAGGAATGGATTCCACATGAATGCATGTGTGTGTGTGTTTTTGGGGGACCCCAAAATTCGTGTTCCAACCCAAAAAAAGTACCCTCAAAAAAGCACGAGCCACCAATGTCGCCTCACCTCGAGACTCACTGAGGCTGGGGCGAGTCGTTGCCCAAATTTGGCCCATGGCCCAGAATTTCTGCGGCCTCGTGTGGCATTTTTACCGGCGAATCGGAATCGGAGGTAGAGGTATGCAAAGGCCTACACAAAAGAACTAATATGATGGACGCCAATATCCCATACTGTGGATGGTTGCGAATTCCTGTACCACCTAAGAAGCCATGGAATCAAGATTCCCCTACAAAAACCAACCAACAATCATGGTTTCCAAGTGGTGAGGGATTTCGTCCATCCACAATATCACCCACCAAACCGTTGAAAAGTACGAGAAATTATCTTGTTCTCCTACGTGCAATATTAAAGGCATCCGCTGCATGAACAAATATTGATGAACCGTCATGATAAAAGCCTGGTATCAAGGGGCCTGCACAAAAGACAAAACGTGCAAAGGACATCAACACGGATGTCCGCAGCGATTTTGCGAGTCAAGACGGAGCCCTACCAACCTGATTGGTTCTTGCCATCTGTTTGGCTCAAACAATTGATAAAATAAATATTTCGGCATTTCAGCCCCTTACCTTGCTTACGCAAGGAGAAACTTCGGCTAGCTTAAGCTATCTTTCATGATTATTTGCGGACTCCCGCCATAGGGAAGATGCTCCCATACTTGTTGATGTACTCCTCACTATGGAAACAAGAGCAACCCGGGGATCTCTGCATGGTTCAGTTCGGGGTCATTCCCGGTGTTTTCCGTGAGAACCACAAGATTGAAGTCGGCAACCCAGGAGCAGTCTTGTCTTGGTTCTTCCTCTGGAAACATGGTGCGCGGTCAAAGCTCCATATCCTTTTACATCGAAACCCGTACAAGGGTTGTCAAAAAACCCTTAAGGGTTGATGACAATCCCCTCTAGCCCCTGTGGGTCAAAACCAGGAAGCCCTTTGAGGAGCGCATATCAAAGAACGCTAGGAGGAAAGCTTGGCGTCAAGACGGAAGGCGGGGGGGAATCGCAAATCGTTCAAACAGCCTCGCTTTGTGGGTCATTCCCTCTAAGTCATAGATTCAAAAGAGTTCCCACCCCCGTCCCCAAACCCAAAGCCCTCTCCAAGTCATAGTTTCAAAAGGGGGAACCCCCTCCCCAAACCCAAACCCCTCCAACAAACAATAAGCAACGAGAACCCTTTGTCGAGCGTCCGAGGCTCGGGCTGATGCCGAGAGACATGCAACAAGGTTCTTTCAGCCTGGCCGACTCCGACGAGATTTCGTCGCTCGAAATCCGCCGTGGGGTGGAAATGTGTGGGGTTTGTACCCCGTCCAGAAAAGGGGGTGGGGGTCTCAACTCGAGAACAAAATTCGTGTGGGAAAGGGGCGGTCTTAAACCCCTGGAAAATTGGACAGGAGGTGTGCTGGGTGTTTGTTGCGGGTATTTGATGCGCATCAACTTCGGTAGACGTTCCTGGTGTCCGTGAAAAGACATGAGACAATTCACAGGTCCATAATGTTGACCCCGGATCCAAGCAGAGCCCTGGTTGATCTTGATTGGGGGGGGGCCTTTTTGGGGGGGGGTGAGACGCCGGGATCTTGCGAGATGGAGCGTCCAATCCCTTTTTGTGGTTAGAATCAGGCGACTTTTGGAGGGCTCCCCCCCCCCCACACACCCCAACAAATCGGCCTGGGTTTCCTTCGATCCGTCACATACGCCCAAGCCAAAGGTTTAACTGGTGACCAGCTGAAAACCGGGGCATTTGACAAACAGCCGACGAGACCCAGAGGTGGAGATTGCCTGTGGCAACATGGATGGCTCTGGATGATCAAAACAAGCAGGTCTGGATGATCAAAACAACCAGGTCAACCAGGAATCGCAGTTTCTTTTGTTCTTTGTCTACCAAAGGAACCAGCAAGGACATTTGGAATCTTCTGCGATGAATCTAAGCAAAAAAAAAAAAAAACGGATGCCGCATACCCCAAAAGTAACACTCGGATTGGGGACACAGTGTCCGGTTGGTAGAGCGGCACTTGTCAACTTGTCAGGCAGACCATGTTTCTTTAACTCGCGCAATGTGAGCTTCGTATTAAAACCCTTCCCGTAAGTGTATGAACTGCTTTATATTTTAGGGGGGGATCCACTGACTAGCAGGGTCCTCCGGATGAAAACCAAAGTTTCCGCACAAACATTGACATTCTCGGTGCCTAGGTCGCTTTGTGGATTCGCACACCCCGCAAGAAGGGCGGGCCGCAACGTCTACAGGAAAACACGGAACGCCCTTCGCATAGCATGTCTAGGTCCTCCAGTAGAGAGGTTAGAATAAGGGTGCCAACTTTTGTCTGTAGTCTATTTTAGTAGGGAGCCCTCCCAACCAAAAAAAGGGTGAGAACGGGCACTACTGGGGGGACCTTGTTCTTTAAAAGTCGCAAGTCGACCCCCACAAAACTCCCTCCCAACCGCCGCCCCAACCTCCGAACCCCCCCCCAACCCCCA